ATTCCCACCCATGACAACTCACGAAAATAAATAATAATTTCTGTGATGACTTGATATGGCATTTATAATTTTACCCTTTATTTCTATGTTCTGAGACCTCGTATAACTCCGTTTAGCCTTTTTCGATTTGCGTATACAATCCGTGTTATTTTTTCAGAAGGGTTTTATGAGAAAATTGATGAAAATGTAAAATCATGCCTTAAAACTCAATTGAATCGACTACGGTCAACGTTTTGTGTAAACGGACCCGGATTGATATTTTGATAGCCCCGGTGGGTCCGTATCATGATTGGAACTTGGGCATATGACCGAAATCGAATTTGAAAGTCCCTACCTTGAATTAACACAATTTGATGAAAACTAGAAATCTAAAGGTTTAAAGAATTTCTAAGTTTGACCATAAGTTGACTTTGTTCCTACAGGGTTCAGATTTTAATTTCGGAACTTGGTATGAGTTCATTGTAGTATTTATGACTTGTCTGCAAAATTTGGTAAGAAACAGAGTTGATTTGACATGATTCGGACGTCCGGTTGAAAAATAGAAAGTTCTTAAGTTTTTTTGAAAATTTCATTCATTTTGGTATCCGATTCATAGTTCTAGGTGTTATTTTGGTATTTTGATCACGCGAGCGAATTCATATGATATTTTTGGACTTGTGTGTATGTTGGGTTTGGAGCCCCAAGGGCTACGGTGAGTTTCGGACGCGTGGCAGAGTGTTGAAAGAGTTAAGACTTTGCTGGTTCTGGTGCACAAGCCTCAGACCTTGCAATTGCGAGGTATGGATCGCATTTGCGATAATACAGGGCCTCTGTCAGTTTCACATTTGCGAATAACTTCTTCGCAATTGCGTAGTGGGGGCTGGGATAACATGGATCGCAATTACGATCAATTGGTTGCTTTTGCAAAGCTCCAGTGTTCGCATTTGCGAACAAACCATCGTAATTGCGATGGCAACAGAGATGTGGGCTTGTTCACATTTGCGAAACATTTCTCGCATTTGCGGGGTTTGCTTTTACGAATCCCAGGTCGCAATTGCGACATCTGCGCCTGGACAAAAGAGGAAAAAACGGAATTTAGCTCATTTCTTTCAAACTCTCAACCCTAAACATCCTAGAGGCGATTTTCCCAAGAGATTTTCTTCCTAAATTCATTGGTAATTTACTATTGTATAGTGTAGCTTGATGAGAATCTAACTTATGAAGAAGAGTTGATAGCTATTGTAGATCGGCAGGTTCGGAAGTTGAGGTCTAAGAAAATTCCTTCCATGAAAGTACTTTGGAAAGGTCAGCCGACTGAAGAGGCTACTTGGGAGTCCGAATCCAATATGAGGAGTAGATATCCGCATCTTTTTTGCAAGTTCAGGTACATTTTTATGTCTGTCGTGGACGAAGATTTCTTTTAGAGAGAGATAATATAACGACCTGATAGGTCGTTTTGAGTTCTAGCTTTTAGTTCGTGATTTGAAACCTTAAATACCTTCATTTGTTGATTTATGACTTGTGTGCATGATTCGTTTTGATTTTCGAAAAGATTAGATGTGTTTTACAAAGAAATATTGATTTTTGAACTTTAAAGTTGTTCGAGTTGACCACGGTTAACATTTTTGATAAGCGACATTGGATCGGTATTTTGACGATTTCAGTAAGTTCATATGATGATTTTGGATTTGTACGTATATTTATTTAGGGTCCTGGGTGACTCGAGGCCGTTTTAACGCTTATTATTGAAAGTGAACACTTGAAGTTATGAACATGTGAATTCTTGAGTTTTGATTCTTGATTTTTGATTGTAGATATTGTTTTGATCGTTTGAGCTTGCGAGCAAGTTCGTATGAGGTTATTATACTTGTTTGGATATTTGGATTGAGACCCGAGGGGATCAGGTTAGTTTTGAATAGGTTCTAAGGAGCTATAGAAAGACTTGAGGTTATTGGTGCTACAATTATCATATTTGCGATGGCCAGCTCGCAATGCGAGGCTCGTATTTGCGATGCTAGCTCGCATTTGCGACACATAAGGATGAAAGGCTAGCTTCGTATTTGCGAAGTTTAGGTCGTAATAGCGATCCTCACAATTGCGATGCATCTATCGCAATGGTGACTCTTGAGGCTAAGGGACACCTTCGCATTTGCGAACATTGGTTCGCACTTTCGAGCTACGCAATTGCGAACAAGAGTTCTCAATTGCAATATCTGTAGTTGGGATAAAAATAAGGAATTTTGGGAGTTGCTCATTTTAATCTATTTTTGAGACCTAGGATACTAAGAGGCGATTTTGGAGAGAATTTTCTTTCTAATTTTAACGGTTAGTAACTTTACCTTATTTTTTATTAATTTTTATTACTTTTCATAGATTTTTATCCCTAAATTTAAGATTTCATAAAGTATAAATAGAATTTTTGGGTAGAAACTTAGGATTTTATATTTTATAGATTTAAACTTTGATTTGAGATCAGATGTCGAAATAAATCACATATTTGGACTCGGAGATGAATGGGTAATGGGGATTTGGTCTTGATTTCGTATTTCAATCAAGTGGGCCAGGATTGATTTTTGTTGACTTTTTCAAATTTGTTAAAGATTGAACCTTTTTGATAATACGGTAGCTTCGAAATCTTATTTTGACTTATTTGAATATTATTTGACTAGATTCGAGTTGTTTCGAGGCTTGTCCTAAAGGAAAAGCAGTATTGGATTGTTAATTTTATTTCGGAAAGAGGTAAGTATCGTGGTTAACCTTGACTTGAGAAAATTAGGATGTAATTGAGTCTATTTACTAATTGTTCTATGTGTTGTGGGCGGCGAATATGCAAGGTGACGAGTGTATATGCATTGTCATGTGATAAAGCATGCGAGAAGAACTAGTTTATTACTTACTTTTACTTATTACTTCCCTTTATTTATTTCATGCTTTCACTTGCTATATGCCTTTACTTGTTATATGCCTTTACTTGTTACATGCATTTACTTGCTTTATGCCTTTTACTTGCTTCATGCCTTATTCTTTTATGCTACGTCGGATAATGTGATAAAGCATGCGAGAAGAACTAGTTTATTACTTACTTTTACTTATTACTTCCCTTTATTTATTTCATGCTTTCACTTGCTATATGCCTTTACTTGTTACATGCCTTTACTTGCTTTATGCCTTTTACTTACTTCATGCCTTATTCTTCTATGCTACGTCGGATAATATGTGACTACTAGGTTGTTCACGTGTTTATGATTTGTTGGAGTCCTTATTGAGATATATGTAAGAGGCTAGCTCTTGGCTCTTGGTTTCCTATCATACTTTGTTCGACTTATTTTTTCTTGTTGAATTATGTATATTCGTTCTTTTTGTATTATGTTGTGAACCTTGCCATTTTTTGTTTCTTGTTGGATGTCCCCTTATGATTTGGTATGTTGGATCGGGTTGCACGCCGTAACGGTATTGATTGTTGATGATATTGAGATTTGGATCGGGCTGCACGCTGCAACGTATTAATTATTGACAGTATTTTGATTGGATTGGGTTGCACGTTACAACAATACTGTGATTGGATCGGATTACACGCCGCAACAGATATGATATCTTGTCCTTATTTCTTGGTTGTTGTTCTCCCTTGTGGTGTTTGTGTTATAAGGTTATGTTATGTTGTTATTTTCGGGAACCTTGTTATTTATTCTCTTATTTAATCTTATGCTTTTATTCGTCTTTTTCTATATTGCTATTTCCTTCTCCTTATTACTTGTATAGGTTTATAAGTAGGTGTCTTGTCTTAGCCTCATTATTATCCCGTCGAGGTTAGATCCGATACTTACTAAGTACATGTGGTAGGTTATATTCATACTGTACTTCTACACTTCTTATGCAGATCCCAGCATTGGTCCTAACGACGCTTCCAAAGGTGATTAGCTTGGATAAATTAGGAGACTCGAGGTAGTGTTGCATACGTATTCGCAGGCTCTGAAGTCGCCTTCCTATCTATTGTACTGTTAAATTGTACCAAACAATATTATACTTTATTTCAAACTATGTATTTAGCACTCTTTAGAAGTTCATGTACTCCGTGATACCGGTCTTGGGAGGTATTTATGACAGTTGTGAATGTTTTAGAATTATTATGTTATTTTCATAGATTTCATACTTTTATTAATAATATTTTACTATTAGATGTTTAATTGTGCTTTTGTTATTGCTGTTAAGTGTTGGCTTGCCTAGTAAGCGATGTTAGGTGTCACCACAATCCCTTGGTTGGGATTTTAAATTGTGACATATCGGCCAATGATTTTTTTCGTTTATTTTCTAGTTTTATTCATATAGTTTTATATAGAAAAAGTGGGGTACAGTGGCTTGAGGGTAATAGTAGCGATAAAACTGGTGAAAGAGGCGAGGAAGTAGAGATGATGGTGGAGGAAATGAGGCAATAGACAGAGTGGTGAAGGTAGCGGCAGGAAACAAGATAAAAACTCATAAATCAATTTAAAATTAGCAATTTGACAAAATTGCTTTTTTAAGGTGGGCCCACAAATTACACGTAACACTAAGAGCCCATTTGGATTGGCTTAAAAATGTGACTTTTCAGTAGAAATAGCTTTTAATCCAAAAAATAATAAGTTGAGGTTGCCCAACTTATTATTTTTAACTTGTTTTAAATGGTTTATAATTTATTTTAAACATTTTAAACTTTGCCAAACATTGAAAAAAAATTAAAAAGAGCTTAAAAACTGACCAAACACCCTCTAGGTATTTGACTTATCATCCAAGTTAGTGCAATTGAAACACACGCAAAATGTAACATACAAAGGTTCATAAGTGTTTATTAGTACTCAACACATCAAGTAAAGGTTTTAAAATGTAACATACAAAAGCTCATCTACCAACTTTAAAAGTCGATGTGAGTTGAAGGGGCTATTAGGCCATTTTGCCTAGTTAATTTTTCCTACGGTATGAAGGTAAATTTATAGTTCGAGGCTTTTTAAGTTGTGGACCCTTTATGAACTTTTCTTCTTTGGTTTCTCTGGTGCAGAAACTTAGAACGTGGCCACTTCCAAATTGCAATATCAACAACTGCTATACAACAAAAATTAACACATGTAAATGGAGAAAAATATACTGACACATTAATCGAGAATCAAGATTCAATGGCGTTGAGATTTCATCCTTTTTCTCCCCTTTTCAACTTCCGCTCCACTAAACGAAGTCGCACAGTTTTGGCGCGCAACGAAGTCTCTGCCACTTCTAACGGCTATCCTTCTTCCACTCTTACCTCCAAGCAAGGTTGGGCACTCTGTGTGTGTGTGTGTGTTTTTTAAGTATTTTGTCACTGTTTTAGCTAACCGAGAGTCAAATTAACTACATATTGACTACCATTTTTTAACAAATGCTTTGTACTTTGGTATAACAAAAACTTATAGTAGTAAATTTAGTGTAGTTTCTGAATATGTAAACTTCAATTTAGGGAGAATGATAGCTCCAAAAATTGGTCAAGGTAACAGTATTCAACAAGCCAAAAGTGCCAAACAAATTGGGATGGGGGAGAATGTACTTGCATGCTTCTCAATTTCGGATATTCTAAAATGTATTACTAACTTTCTTTAAAAAAGATTGACACTATTTCTTTGTTAGTCCGTTTAAAAAAGATTGACACTTTTTAATATTTCCTTGACAAAAAACATTTATTGACACACAAGTGATACGATAGGTTTCATACCACAAATTTCAAAATTTTTAAAGCCATATAAATACTATAGTTTATTTAGGACCACATATCTTAAAAGTATTTCTCTTCTTTATTAAAGTTTGTGTCAAGTCAAAGTTAGACAATTTACATGGGACAAATGGAGTACTTTTTCCTTATAAAAAAAAAGAACAAAATTATGCACGATATGTCTGCCTGTTAAAAATTCCTGGTTTCTAATGTCTGTTAAAATTGTTCTCTTCATGCTTAGTATGCAACAGATTGGTATTCCTAGGATATGATAACTGATGATGTATCCAATTGTTAATCCATGAAATATGGAACTCAGCGTAAATTGACGTTCCAGCGAAGGAAAAACGCGTACTTCTGAAGTTATACTATGAGAGGATATGCTTGTGTAGACTTCTAATGCAGATAAGTTGTCTCTCTCTACAGGAACATGTTTATTTGACTGCAAGAATTATGTGCAGGCAAGCCAGAAGCAGATATCATTGTTATTGGGAGCGGTATAGGTGGGCTATGTTGTGGTGGACTTCTTGCTAGGTATGGCCAAGATGTTTTAGTACTCGAAAGCCATGATGTAGCTGGGGGTGCAGCTCACTCTTTTGATATTAAAGGGTACAAATTTGACTCTGGTCCATCATTGTTCTCCGGTTTTCAATCAAGAGGTCCTCAGGCAAATCCATTAGCACAGGTTACACTCTATCTGCTTACAATTTTGCTTTGTTTGTTTAGAATGTAAATGAATTCAAAGATAAGGAAAAAAAGGTTCAGCAGTTGGTGTATTTGAGACAAAGATACTAGCATTATTTCCCCTTTTCATACCTAGACCTTCCTTCCAAATGTTGCATTCGTCTTATGTGGATAGAACACCTCTTTAGGGCTTTATATATTAGCATTTTCTTTGTCACATCGACATTCTTAAGCCACCACTCATGAAATAAAATGTATGGGATGTTAACAAATTAAACATCCGTGGAGAAGCTGAAGACAGTTTACTGGCTTTTTCTCTACCTAGAAGTTCATTCTAGAGTGTTGTTGATCACCTAAGAAGCGCCTGATCAATCGTGAATAGCAATGACCACAAAAATTGCAGCAAATCAGTACTGTGAAACTTCGAAGAGCTAGCTATTGACGTTTTATGCATATGTTGAAGATGGAATATAATTATGGTCTTCCCCTTAATAGTTAAATATTTAGGATGTGTGCGAGTTACAAAATTCAACAGTACGTAAAACACTGAACTCAATCACCTGGATGGCTGATTGTGAAATCCTGTCCATTCACTATCTAACTGTGAAAATGAAGAATAGTGCTGGCGCTGACAAACGTTTTAATGGGATCAGTTTCACTAATATATGTATGTTGCAAACATGTATTGTATGTTAATGTGAAAGGTTATGGTGGATGTAAACCATGAGAGGCCAAGCTGCTACAATCAACGGGCCAGTTTTTATAATTGATTTCAAACATTCTTTATGCTGAATTCTGGCTTTATTGCCTTTGAATGAACTCTTTGAATTTATTTTTTATTTGTCTGTCAATGTGTTTCATCACCTTTAAGTTGGATGGTATTAGAAACCGGCTTTGATTTACTATTTGAAGAACCTACTAGCTTCCCCTCCCTTGGATAGCCAGATATGCATTTATTAGTGCAACATGCTTTTATTGACCATATGCGCTGCTCTTTATGTAAAACTACTCTATGCGTTGTATTCTGTAGATTTTGTTTCGGGGTGGGAGGGTAGCAAGAGGGATTTGATGTTTTAGGACAATAGCTTCAATAAGTTCAGGTCACCAATTTTCATTTCATTCTTATTCGAAGAAAAGTTGATGTGTCCTGTTGCTCTGTAAATCTGGTAGAACAGATGGCCTGACGACAAATATGTTCTTGATCCTTAATGCCTTTGTTCAGTGACAAATAAGTGACTTGCGGCTCCATTTTTTAAAAACATTCTTTGCTTGGCCTAATTAACTAGTAATTCTGTACTGCAATTTATTGGACATTTAGTCTGTCTTCTTGTTAGCAAATGCAACTCAACTTATTGATATGTTTCTCAGGTTCTTGATGCATTAGGTGAATCAATTCCCTGTGCAAATTATGACTCATGGATGGTATATGTACCTGAAGGTGAATTCTTGTCACGCATTGGCCCAACGGATTTTTTCAAGGTCTGACCTGCTGTTTGCTTTTGGTAACATGTTTCGTGGACATCACTAAAAATTTATCCTGTGTGTTTTCATTGTTTGCAAGCTTCACGTTGTATTTCCTTTAACATGCTTCATGATAATCTTTCTCACCATTCAGGATCTGGAGAAGTATGCAGGACCAGATTCAGCGAGAGAGTGGAGGAAACTTCTCGTGAGTATTGGATACTTTCCTTACATGTTGTGTTTCTTACATGATTTATTGCTCGAATACTCAGAGACTGAGAGACATATTTTTTTACAATTTAGCTGAGATCTCTCGGCAGTCCCTTTCTCTCCAACTTTTGTAAGAGCTCTTTACTGTTCTCTGTTATCGAATCTTATCTCATTTGCATAGAGTGTGGTTTTTACAGGACGCAATACTTCCAATCTCAGCAGCTGCAATGGCTCTACCTCCTTTATCTATCCGAGGTGATTTGGGTGTTATTTCGACTGCTGCTGCTAGATATGCACCTTCTCTCTTAAAAACTTTTGCTCAAATGGGACCTCAAGGAGCCCTTGGTGCTACCAAGCTTCTCAGACCCTTTTCGGAAATCATTGATTCTTTGGGAATAAAAGACCCTTTTATACGAAATTGGCTAGATCTCCTAGCCTTCTTGCTTGCCGGGGTCAAAACTAACGGCATACTCTCAGCAGAAATGGTAATTATGGAACATGCATTTACCTTATAGAGATATTTCTTGGAAGTTAATGTTGTTTGCATCTATCAGAAAAAAATTGCTTGATCTTTGCTCAAGTGTCTCTAAATCATGCGTGTTGCTTCCTCCATATTTGTAAAAATATGGTAACAAGCTAGCTGTTTTTTCTCTAAGGATTTTATAATTCATCAGTTGCACTTTAGACATTAAATACTGAATTCTACTTCTACAGGAGGACCTCACACACTAATATTGGAATCAGGAAATTTACCTTTTAGATTAATATGCTAATTTTGGTTTTGCGCACACTGCAATTGTCTACTTTTGTTCTGCTTGAGATTTTGTTGGTTTTGCCGCGGAAATTAAGAGTTTCTTAAAGTTCACTTTTATAATAGGACCTCAGTTCCATCCTATGATTGGAACCCAATAGGTCGTCTTGTAGATTACTGTCAAATTTGACCTGCACACATCGCAAATTGCCTACTTATTTTCCAGTGAGTACCAGAAATTTTGAGCATATCCCAGTAAGTTTATCCCTTTTATGGATTTCAATCCCGAGTTTGTATTTGTGGTTCACTTTATCTGAGAGCTCAATTCGTACTAGAGGTGATTCAGTTTAAACTTAACTTGTTTGCTAAACATGAAATATGTTCAAACCTAATGACAAAGTCCAAAGCATGGGAATCTTCCCCTGTTTACACTTCTCATTTTGCATCACTATTGACAAATGTGATGGCTGCAACAACCTACTTTTGCTGAATGAATTTAATGGTTTTCACTTGGTTGGCATGCATTGGGATTAAGCCGATCTTGTATTAATCTCATCTTCATGTCTCACAAATTCTTTATTTGATTTTATGTTTAACCTTCTTCAATTAATTTTTCTTATTCATTAATGTAGATTAATCACTGTCATCCTTTATGCTTCATAGGTGTACATGTTTTCAGAATGGTATAAGCCGGGTTGCACTCTAGAATATCCACTTCAAGGAAGTGGAGCAATTGTTGATGCTCTTGTTCGAGGGCTACAAAAATTTGGTGGGAGGATTTCTCTCAAGAGTCACGTAGAAAATATAGTTGTTGAAAATGGTCGAGCTGTTGGAGTCAAACTAAGAGGTGGCCAAGTGAGTAAATAAAAACTATGATGCATAGTGAAATGATACACGTCGTTTTGATTAAGGTTGTGCTTTTTCCTTGTGAAAAACATAAACCAAAATATTTTATGCTGCAGTTTGTCCGTGCCAAGAAGGCTGTAGTCAGCAATGCATCTATGTGGGATACCTTGAGCTTATTGCCTCCAGAAGTTGTCCCAAAATCATACCGAGACAACATCAAATCGACCCCACAGTGTGAATCGTTCATGCATCTGCATTTGGGTTTTGATGCAGAGGTAAGCTATAGCATAACAATGCATTGTTGAGAATTCTATTAGTAGGCTGTGGCAATGCAATATGACCTTCATGGATTGAAAGTAAAAGACCACATAAACTGGACTATCCAATAATATGATATAATGATTAGAAAGGTCATTTTCGAGGTAATTATGTTAGTACTATTCTGCTTGTTCCATTCTTTTATGCTCTTCCCCTTGTGGGTGGGTTGTGGAGATATTTCCTTTTTTTCTGATTGACATTGCTTCATAGCCATTAAAACATGTCTCTGGGTGTCGCTTTTCATGGTTTCTTTTATGTCCATTGAAATGGATGTTTAGGGTATACGTGATGACCTGGGAATCCATCATATAGTAGTAAATGACTGGGACAGAGGGGTTGATGCTGATCAGAATGTCATACTGATATCCGTGCCCAGTGTGCTCAGTCCAAATCTTGCTCCACCCGGAAAGCATATTTTGCATGCCTATACCCCTGGAACTGAGCCATTTGAAATTTGGGAAGGTCTTGATCGCCGAAGCAATGAGTACAAAAACCTCAAGGCTGAAAGATCTGAGGTACTCCTTGTTCTCTTATTTATTGATGATAAACAGTGGTCCGGCTTCATTATCTACAAAATCTTGAGATGATAGTTTTGCTGATCAATTTGCATTATTTGTGTCTCATTAGTATGATGTTAGCTATCAAATTGTTAGATGCTGCGTCTTTCATCCTGAATCAGAAGTTAAGCCACAATGCTCAAGTGATTGTGCATAGCTGATTTATGCTATAGATATTTCCTGTTAAGTTTATTCTCGTTGACTTTCCTTTTCCTTCTCTGTGTTTATCTTTGCAATTTGTGACCTTCAGTCAAGAACTTGTTGAACTTTTCACTTCAGGTAGCTGTAAATAGGTGTGCATATTGAGGTCCCTTTTCACCTGATTTTCTGTTTACATGGCAGGTAATGTGGAGGGCTGTGGAGAAAGCACTTGGGCCAGGGTTTAATCGCGAGAAGTGTGAGGTGAAATTAGTTGGAACTCCATTAACACATAAAAGATTTCTTAGAAGAAACAGAGGGACTTATGGGCCAGCTATATTAGCAGGTAAGCATAGGTGGATCTAGGTCGGCTTCAGTGTGTTCAGCTGAACTCATTGCTCTCGATTTGATTAACTATGTATACATATGCAAAAATAATTAAAGTTAAATTGATAATAAAATCACACTCATTCTGAAACCACGGACCTTATCTTGGATTCTCGTCTGCAGGTAAAGGCACATTTCCTGGACATTCCACACCAATTCCACAACTCTTGTGCTGTGGAGACTCTACTTTTCCTGGCATTGGAGTGCCTGCAGTTGCTGCTAGTGGTGCCATTGTTGCGAATTCGCTGGTTTCTGTGGCAGAACATTCACAGCTTCTTGATGCTGTAGGGATATGAGGAGACTTTTAAGCTGGTTTAACGGCCTGTATTTTGATTCATCCTGTACATTGGTTATACTTTGTACAGTTCTTCCTTTGTTTACAGTAATGAATGTAGCATTTCGAATCTTCTGCTCGAAACTAATCTTCTGCAAATTTCTGCCGAGAATTTTAGATTCGAACCAGAAAAGGAATTCTTGGAAGTTGGATATCTCTCATTATATGTTAGTACATTAGTATGGGTTTAGGAGGTCAATGGAAAACGCAAACTAAAAACATTTTTCTTTGAGTTGAAATTATTTTTAGCGGCTACGTTGGCATCCACAATATTTAAGGTTTTAACAACACACGGTTGACTATATAGTAACTTAATGGTCCGGCTGGTTATTTTATGTATTTGAACTCCATTTCTCTATTTGATGCTTCATGTATGCTTCTTTGTTGTTTTGTGACTTGTGAGGATGGTTGTTTTGGTTTCGCGAAGGTTTGGTAGTGAATTGAAATACTTAGTTTTATTGTTGGAAGCTTAAGTTGTAAGAGTTGATCAAGGTTTGACTTTTGTGTAGACGATTTCGGATTAGTGATTTGATGGTTCCAATAGGTTCGTATGGTAATTTTGGACTTAGGCTTATGCCCGCATTTGGATTTGGAGGTTCCTAGGATGCTTTGGCTCTATTTGCCGAAAGTTGGCTACTTGAAGGTTTGGAGAGTTCATAAATTTGACTGCGAGTCGACTTTGATGATATAGAATTCGAATTGTTGTTCCGGGACTTGGAATAAGTTCGTTTAGTGGTTTGGAACTTGTGTGTGAAGTTTGGTAGGAACCCGAAATGCTTAGGCTTGGTTCGGACATGTTTGTGGAAGTTAGAAGGTTTAGAACTTAAGAGATTGATTTTGATCGCCGATTCATGGTTTTGATGTTATTCGTAGTGTTTTGAGCATTTGGATAAGTTTGGAAAATGCATTCAGATTTCTTGGTATGTTTGTATGGGGTCCTGGGGAGGGGGGCTCAAGTGTGCTTCAGATTGATTTCAGATAATTTTGTTGCATGTTGGTAGAATTGGTTCTGGTGTATCGTACCTGCAGAACTTTTGGTGCAAGTGCAAGGTAGCAAAAGTGGAGAGGAGGTCGCAGAAGTGGAGCTTGACCTAAGCTTGGGAGTCCACATATGCGGACTTGTCTGCGCAGATGTGTGTTGGAGGCGCACCAACGGATTCGCAGGAGCGGGCGGAGTGCCCAGAAATAACTGGTTGGCTGATTAAGTGGTTTGCGTATCTGCTAGGATTGTGTAGCGCAAAAGCGATTGTTTTGTCCGCAGATACGGAAGCCGCTGGCAGGAGATTATATTTCAAGGGTTTGACTTATTTTCATTATCTTGAGTTTTGGAGCTCGGCTAGAGGTGATTGTTTAGGAGAATTTCATCACCACTTTGAGGGTAAGTAATCTCTGCTTGATTTTGATATCTTGTTTCTCCATGGAGTATTACACATAGATTATAGGATTTAAAAGTAAAATTTGGGGGGGGGNAGATTTGGATGAAACCTATATATTTGGATTCATATTCGAATGGATAGTCGGGATTTGTAAGTTTTGCTGGGTTTCGAGAAGCGGGCCCGAATTGACTTTTTGGTTGACTTTGTGTAATTGATTAAAGATTGGAGTTTTATTGCTTGGAATTGATTCCTATGGCATTATTTGATGCCATTGAGTTGTATTGACTAGATTTGACCCGTTCGGAGGCCGATTCAAGAGGCAAAGGATTTTTGGAGTATTGGTTCTCACGCATCAAGGTAAGTATTTTGTTCAAGCTTGCTTGAGGATATATCCTAGTAGGCTACAATATTTGCTATATGCTGGGGGATGACGCAAATGTGAGGTGACAAGCACCTATGCGTGCACCGTGATTATTTATGATCCGGGTAGATTATAGACTATTATATGTCTTATGTTTGTTATCGTGCTTCATTGATACCATATTTGCTCCACTTGATTGACTATGTTAGCTATTATTCATGCTAGAAATCATGTCTAGGTTGTTTGTTATCTGTTTGAGACATAATAGGGCTATTTTTGCCATGTTAAGTTATTTGCCATTGCGGTAGTCATACTTTTCTGTCATAATATTATATCTGCGTATTATATCACTGTCTCTGTGCATTTTTTATATGTTATCTCACATGTTGTTAATATCTTTGTGTGTTTGACACAGGTTTGAGCTGAGTTGTAGCACATTAGTATACTTGGTGCGATATTTTGATCATGGTAGTATGAGATGTTAGCATATTGAGACTTGAGGAAATTGATTACTGATCTTGGACCTTAGAGTTGTGTTGATATTGGTTGTGAGGTGATGCTTGCGTCAAGGTCCCATAGTGGGCCGAGTCATATTGATCGTTGACTTTTGATCTGATCAACGCTTGGGCTAGTATCCTCCCATCCAGAGACAGGTAATAACCCTGTGAGTGCAAGTACTTGATATGTTCTTAGTGAGGGGCTTATGCAAGACACCCGTATAGTGCGGAGTGTGTGTGTGTGTATAATAATTCAAGGGCATTTGCCAGGCACCGTGAGTGTGCTGAGAGTATGGGAGGGGTACTTGTGCCAAGCACTATGAATGTGCTAGGATTGTGTATATGTGATGATTAAACAGTGATGTTGTTGATTTTGGTATGTATACTTATCATGCAGGCATATAGTTGTATTTTTCTCATGCTAATTGGCATTTGATGTCTCTATTTGATGTTTAGAGCTTGAAATCGCATGTTACTGTGATAAATCCTTGTTTAGGTGATTTCTATGTAAACGTTTATGTCTTGATTGATATACTTGAAAAGCATGCTTATTCTCCTCTTATTGTGACAAAGTTCAACATGATATTATTTGAGTTGATTTTTCTTTTCGCCATTATTATGCTGCTACTGTTGTTATTGGCTATTGAAAGTTAGTATTGGACCTTGCCAACCTCGTCACTGCTTTCAGACCGAGGTTAGGCTTGCTACTTATTAAGTATATATGATCGGTTATACTCATACTACACTTTGCACTTTATATGCAGATTCAGGAGGTGGACCAGTTGAGAATTGTGAGCGGATATGTATTGCACTTTCGAGACCAAGGTAGAGCTACTTCCCGATCGCAGTCCCTGACGTCTCTTCCTATCTTTTATTAATGTTTAGTCTTTCAGATAGTATTGTATTTTGTTCAAATTTTGCATTTAGTATTCTATAGATCTCATACACTGGGTGATACCAGATTTTGGGTGGCTTTCAAATGTATTATTATTTTAACTTCAGTTATTTATGCTATTCCGTTATCGTAACTATATATTACTATTATTGAAGCTTATTTCTAAATGTTTATTATTGTCTTGCCTGGTAAGCAGTGTTAGATGCCATCATCGCTCCGGTGGAATTTTGGGTCTTAACAAGTTAGTATTAGAGCCCTAGGTTGCGTAGGTCTCACGATTCATGAGCATGCCTAGTAAAGTCTTGTGGATAGGTATAAAGACGTCTGTATATATCTTTGAGAGGCTACAAGGCTATTAGAAAAATTTCTCTTTTGTTTCACTCTTTGATTTTCTATTCTCTCACATATTATGAGGACACGTTATTATGGTATAGCTGAAAAGGTGCCAGTACCCCAGGCCAGGGCCGCGAGGGACCAAGGCCGAGGCAAAGACAGAGGTAGAGCACACACCATAATTAGGGGCCTTGCTCAAGTAGCCGCTGTGGAGACACCAGTAACTCCCATTGAGTAGTAGATTCCTAGCTATGTTGAGTTGGTGGGACTCGTGGAGTCCAATAGAGTGCATTTCACCGTGTTTCCCTGACATTCAAGTAGCTTCAGTGGTGCCTCATCTAGAGGCCTAGGTCGATTTGGGAGAGGCTATTCTAGCAAGCCAGTTTATTGTACACTACCACCTGATCGAGGAGCTTATGTGTAGTCTTTATTCAGTGCACTTCTAGTGCATAGTTCTCATTGCACTCCTTCTATTCAGGGTTCATCAGCACCCGATTCTTCTGGTGGATATTCCGGTTCACGAGGTCCGACTCAGGCCTCACAGTCAGTTCCTGTTAGGGATTTCTATGAATGTGGAGACATGGAGTATGTTAGGAGATACTTCCCCCATCTTCACAGAGGTTCAGGGTAGTAGGGAGGTTAGACTATGATTCCTACTTTAGTTGCTACACTACCCGCTCAGCCAGCTCGAGGTAGTGGCCATTCAGGACGTGGTCGTCCTAGAGGTGGAGCTCAGACTAGTAGAGGTCAGACTAGATGCTATGTGTTCCCAGGGAGGACCGAGGTCGTCACTTCTGATGCAGCTATTACATGTATTGTTTATGTGTTCCATAGATATACTTCAGTATTATTTGATCCTGGCTCTACTTATTCATATGTGTCGTCCTACTTTGCTCCTTGTTTGGATATGCCATGCGATTCGCTTGTTACTTCTGTTCATGTATCTACACCGGTTGGGGATTCCATTATAGTGGATCAAGTTTATTGGTCCTGTGTGATCAATATATGTGGATTTTAGACGAGAGAAGACTTTATGTTGTTAGATATGATGGACTTTGACATGATCTCGGGTATGGATTAGATGTCTGCGTATATGCTATTCTTGGTTGTCACGCTAAGACCGTAACGTTGGCTATGCCAAGATTGCGGAGGATGGATTGGAGTGGTTCTCTTAGCATACTCCTAGCAGAGTTATCTCATTTTTAAAGACTCAACAGATGGTTGAGAAATGGTGTTTGGCGTATCTATCTTATGTCAGACATGTTAGTGTCGATACTACTACTGTTGAGTTAGTTCTAGTAGCGAGGGAGTTTTCATATGTATTTCCTGCAGACCTACCGGCATGCCATCCGATAGGGATATTGATTTCAGTATTAATTTGGCATGGGGCACTCAGCACATCTCTATTCCACAGTATCGCATGGCTCCTGCTAAGTTGAAGATATTGAAGGAGCGGTTATAGGAATTGTTGGATAAGGGGTTCGTCATGCCTAGTGTTTCACCTTGAGGTGCGCCGATGTTGTTTATTAAAAAAAAAGATGGTTCTATGAGAATGGGTATAGACTACAGGTAGTTGAACAAGGATACCATCAAGAACAAGTATCCACTGCCACACGTTGATGATTTATTCGATAAGCTTCAGTGTCACGACTCCAATTTCCCTACGTAGGATGTC